GGGGCGGGGGGGGGGGGGGGCCCGTGGGGAGGGGGCCGCGGGGAGGAGGCGGCCGGGGTGGGCTCGCACAATGCGCGCGCCTCCGCGAGGACGCTCCGCACCTTCTCCCGCCGGCCGGAGGGGGAGGGGGGGCCTCTGGCATCCGCGTGGGGGTGACTCGTCAGCGGCGGCCCACTTTGTGAAGTTGAGCCCGGAGACACCCCTCCCTCTCTTTCCCAACTTCTGCGCCCCTCGCCGGCCACTTGAGTCTCCCGGGGAGTCAAATAATTGTTCTCTTGTTTTCCCGTGTTGATTAGGGGTGGGGGTTGAGCCAGTCCATTGAGTTTCTGGTTCCTTCTCTGCGTCCCCTCCTCCCCCTCCCATAGCTTTTCTCTTCCTAGCGGCCCAGGCGCTTTCCGAACACTGAATTCGGGCTTCCCCTGGCCAGACTTTCCTGGAAGATGTTTGTGGAGTTCGCGCACCCCCGGCGCCTTCCCTGCCGCCTCGGAGCCTGGGCAGGCCCTCTCTTACAAACTAAGGAGGTTCACGTGTAGGATTCCCAATTGCAGCCTATTATTTTCTAGTCTGCCCGAATGCTTTTAAATTAGCCACATCTGTGTGTTGCGCAGGAACTGAGTTGCACCGAGGTTTTAACGCGAGCCTTTGATAATACATTGTAGGTTGACTCATAGGCCGAGTCCCGCCTAGTTCAACTGTGATTAAAGTTAATGTTTGGGAAGCGATGACTAATTCCAGGATCGCCATTGCGTTTTAACTCTTATTGCGGATGTGAACATGGCTGCTTGTCCGCATACAGGCTCTATAACTTATTCTCCCAACTTAATTCAACTCAGAAGTGAAACTCCAAGTATTAACATTCCGATAGGTCCTGGTAGATTTCCGTAGTGTAGGAGTTTTTCTTCTCGCTCCTACTTATTTTGTAGGAACTCGCTTTAGGCTAAACCAGTGTAGGAACTTTGCCCGAAACTTAATTGGTTTTCTAAATACTGCCATGTCGTTGGGCCACTCGGGCTGTAACTTGAGTGGAAAGAGGAGTTGCCGCCCCCTCTACGCCTCCCCTCCTAGTCGGGCCTGCAGCAGCAGACCAAGGGGTTTTGAATTCAGAAAAACTCGCTTAACCTGACGACAAAAACTCGATTTGAGGAGGAACGAAAAATTACTGCTTGCCTAAACACTTAAATTTGTAACAGTAGACTTAGAAAATACTCTTTTCTCTCCCCTCACTCCAGCCCTACCCCCATCACTAGTGGGTTTCTGGACTCGCGGTGAGCCAAATGTCTGTTGGCTTGCAGTCTACAGACACCCCAGAGAGGCTTTCAAAGCAGAGGCGATGCAATACCCATTTTGTAGCATTTATGAATCGAAGGAATGACCACTGGAAAGTATGTTTAATCTCTCCATCTGTGCTTTCCACCAGCAGCTTGTTGCTGCTCGCCCACTGGAGTTTCAAGTCCTTTGCATCAAGTTTTTACCTTTCCTGTCTGCTAATGATTTCCTAAATCGAATTTTAATCCGCTAGGAAACTCAGAAGCGCCCACTGATTGGCTGTGCTGCACAAGTACTGGTTCAGTCCTTCAGCCCTTTCAGTTTTTCCTTTGCCTGCCTGAATCTAGAAAATCAAAAGCCTTTTATAAATTCTCAATTCCAATAAAGGAATTTGAAGTGTTGTTATATTATGCATAGGGTTATCTGAGTTGTAAATAATTGTCTGCAAGTTTTCATATCTCCTGTTTACTTCTGGCATGAAAAGATTGTTTTACAAAAGCCTGGAGTTCATTGAGATGATGGTACTATAGTGCTACTTTACCCTGGTTGGACCTGAATTCAGGTCTTTGGGGGGGGGGTGTCTTCGTGCAGGATTTTTCCTGTTGTGACTTAGCTGCAAATAATTGTGGGAGTCCTTCAGTTTTGCATAATTGAACCCATAACATCTTTATCTTCTAGGTACAAACAGGGTTAGCTTTTGATTCTCTTTGATAGCTTTTCTGACATTGGAGTGGTTCTGAACCTTTGAAAATGTTAAAATTTATTGATTGCATTTGTATAGAGTAAAAACTATGACAGGTTTGGCCAGGGTGTTGTGAGGTGGAGGATTAACTATTTAAAACCTAGTGAAAAAGTGAATAGTAATTTCCTGGGTTGTGTTTATATCTGAAACATTTTAGCACTTGGAGAAGCAACTATACTGCTTAGAAAATTCACCAATTTATGTATTTGGGGGTGTTTAGAGTAAGAATGCACTCTACCAGTGAGCAACATCTCCAGCGCCTCCCTTAACCTTTTTGAAAATAAGTTTTACTACCCAGCTAGTATTACACACTAGCTATCTCTAAAAGATGTGAGAAGACATGTTTAGGACCTCTCGTCAATAAAACAATATTTGTAATGCGTATTAAAACTTTATAATTTACAAGTCGTCTGTTTGGATACCTGTGTTCCTTGGTATCACATAAATATTGAAATTTGCATTGGATATTCCGCTGCCATGAAATTCTAGCTAGGAAGTCTGAAGGAGGTGAGCTGGATTCCTCTGTTTTGTAAATTTCATTTTAATGTTCCTAACAGGCCAGTACTGATGCGGGCACTGCAGGAGCCCTGACTCCACAGCATGTTCGGGCACACTCCTCTCCAGCGTCCCTGCAGCTGGGGGCTGTTTCTCCTGGGACGTTGACCCCCACCGGAGTGGTCTCTGGTCCAGCCGCTACCCCTGCCGCTCAACATCTCCGACAGTCCTCTTTTGAGATCCCTGATGATGTGCCTCTGCCAGCAGGTTGGGAGATGGCCAAGACATCTTCTGGCCAGAGATACTTCTTAAAGTGAGTGAAGACGGTGTTGGGAGGTGATGATAGAGGTGGTAGTGGAGGAGCATGGTGTCTGAGTGTAGAATACATTATTTATTTTGCTGGTGCTAGTAATTGAATCAGGACTTTAGGAATGGCAAGCAAGCACCCTTTACTGTTGAGCTACATCCTCAACCCAGTATGTTTGTATTTTACCTAATGTTTATTTCAAGCCCAGTTGTCTTAAGTTTTTTCAGTTTGGTATGAAATATTGAATATGTAAATACTCACTTTAGTGTGGATAGTATCTTGAAAACCTGATTTATTCTTGGTTCAGAGACTTTTTATAATCTTTTGTGGCTGTATAGATAATCTTCATTTTGAGTTTGTGCCAGGTCTGTTAATTAGCCTGGCATAAAACAAAGAATACCATGAAAAATTCAAAGTCTGAGAATTACAAGACTTCCATGGTCACTAAATATGTATGCTGTTTACATTTTGTTTTCTCTTTTTAATTTCTCGCTTTCCCTCCCTCCCCCCCTTTCCCTTTTTCCCTCCCCTCCTTCCTTCCTGCTCAGGATCTAACCCAGGACCTATGTGTCCTAAGCACACGCTCTACCCCTGAAGTACATTTCCAGTCCCAATCTAAGTAAACACTTTATTGGTAGAGAACTAGGACTTGGGTGGAGGGGTAATTTTACAGTATTTAAAGTGAAAAATGGCAAGCACTTTAGCTGTAATTTGATGTGATTTATCAGCTTTTTCTCTCAGTGTGAAGAGAAATGTCAATTATTAGGTTTGGTCTACAGTCACTTAGTAACAAACCAGGTCTTAAAAAACAATGTTTTCGCTGGGAAAATATACACAAGGCCATTGGGTTTATTTATTTTTTCTCCCCAGCCTCTTTGTCTTTAACAAAATGGCTAAACTACATTAATCTGAAAAGACCTACATAGAATTTTCCCCTCTAATTTGAAAATTAGAGGCGAAACAAATTTTATGTGGCTTGTTCTGATTAAGTGTATGCAAAGTATTATCTAAAGCTATTTCTTAATAGATTATTCTGAATAACCTTTCAACAGCTTAATTGGCTTGAGATAAGGAAGTAAAAAACAATGATCATTTTGATTCAGATTGGTCTTGACATCTATGGCAAATGTAACAGTATTTCCTAGATCAGATTAACACATGTGGCAACATTGTCTTGTTGTGTGTGTGCCTTCCCACCCCCTACTTTTTCTTGTGCTGTCTTCATAATGTTTTGTGTTGAGTGTTGACTGTCTCTCAGGGTGGGTTGTTACTTCTTAAGGTAAGATAGTTTTATGACAGGCCTTTTAAGAGGAGTACAGGAAAAGATTTGGTCTTGGAAAGTTTCTGTATTGGTTTTTTGGGGTGGGGTGGGGTGTTTGTTTTTGTCATTTTTTTTTCTCATGCAATTTTTTCATCTTTTTCAAAAAAATTTTGTGTTCTGGTGTCCTGGCATCCATTTCAAAGGGTCAGGTTTCAAGGAGAACAATAAAGGGCCAGAGACTGGAAAGTACACGAGTCTGGCAGGAGCTAGATCATTTGTTCTCAAGCAGACGTCCAAAGTAAATGATTTGAAAGAGCTGCTGGCTGTGAGGGATGTGTCCTGAAGGGGAAAGGAGGAGAGACAAACCAGGTTGTTAGGGAGGAAAAGAAAGGCTGGGCTCTCTTGAGTCCCTCCCTGCTGGGTCCCATGCTGACCTGGGGAGACTTTTAAACAGCTTAATAGCCCCAGGCCTTCTTTTCTTTGGTTGATGCTGTGACTGTTTAAGGTTAAAGAGCAACGTTTGCCTTAACATTTCTTTTTAATCTTTTGTGTTTTATTAAAATTGCTTGTAATATGGTAACATCTGCCTACATTCTCATTATTTTGAGGGAGCATACTTTTTTGAGCTGAAATAATTGTACCAGAGGCTTGTTTTCAAAGTTTCTTGTGAGTCTTCTGTGGCAAGTGTTTCCCTTAAAAGTAAGTGCTATGAGGATGGGTTGGTGGAGTTGTGCACACTTGTCCCCATCCCCTCTCTCCACACCCTCACCCCACTCTGAGGGTCCTGGAAGGGAGGGCCAGGCCAGAGTAAGAATTGCACCATATGGGGAGTGGTTGTGGGATTGGGGGGAGTTTTGCCTGGAAAGAAGGGACTGGCAAGAGAGGAGAGAGATGTGCTTGCTCTTCCGCTGTTTCTGAGGGTCTCCACTGGAAGAGGGAGTGGGCTGCGTGTGTGTTGAGAGGAGTTTGCACGTCATAGAACTCTTTCACAACCACCTTTTCAGAAATAAAAGGCCTTTCTCTGAGTGACTCCTGGTTCGTCAAACTGAGTTAGCAGAGAGCCTCTGAACACTGGGTGTGGAAGTGGGAGCTTTGGGCTTTTGAAATTTCTTAGTTTCTAAAGAGTTAGCTGCTTTTATGAACAATATGTAGTTTGGAGAAGTGTTTGAAACAGGAATCTCTTCTCTCTGGTTGTTAAGCATTTCCATGATATTATGGATTATGTAGTTGCCATAAAGTTCTTTTGTGTACTAAACAGATGAATGAAATTAACATCTGTCCTGTGAGTCAAAGATGATAATGAACTAAGCTTTTGGTGCCAAGGTGCTATGGTGTCAAAATTTATTTTTATCTTGGTTTTGATATTTATGGTCAGGCTTGCTTCACAATCAATACTTACTTTGTTCTGTGTCTAAAGATTCTTTTGGGGCCTGGAGATGGCTTAGTAGGGAGAGGCACTTACTGTTACACCAGTTAGTTCAATTCCTTGGAACCCACATGGCAGAAGGAACCAACTCCTGAAAGTTATCCTCTGACTACCACACTCATGCTGTGGCATGTCTATATCCTTATGTGTGTGTACACACACAGAGGCATGGGCAAAAAAATAGATAAATGTAATAAAAAATTATTTAAAAGATACTTGTCAACTAGATGTAGAATGGAGATTTAAACTAACTGAAATCTATGCTCATTTCAAGTGAAAAATGAATCTTTTTTTCCATCTTTTTGGGTAGTTGTTGGAACTATTATGTTACAAAGTATATCATTTCTTGAGTTTTATACTTGACTGGAAGAGTTCTAACTCCAAATGGTCTAAACAAGGCAAGGCCATGAAACTTGGGAGAACTCTTAGAATTGTTGACTTTGGAAGCAACTAATTGTTGCCTTGTGACCACAGATGAATGAGTTTTTGAAGTCAGTTGGCCCAGCCTCTCACTTTCAAGGCCCCAAAATAATTACTGAAGGATCACAGCCATCTTTGGTGTTTTTAAAGCTCGCTCTAGGTCAGTGAGATCTGGAGGCTTGTACTTTATCTTGGCAAACGGTAGGGTGGATCTCTGTTGCTAGCACCCAAATCTAGGATGGGAACTCAAACACTGGAAAGATTAGGATGGACACTGGGTGTGGAAGTGGGTGCTTTGGGCTTATGGATGTGGCTTATGCCACAAGGATGGACATCATTGTAAACTCTGAATCTTTTCTTTTGAATTCACTGTTTAAATTTCTACAACATAGTACCTTGAGTTTTATTTAAGAATTCATTCTTTTTACTACTCTACTACTTACTACTGTGGTACCTACCACAGCTTCTTAGAGTTTTCCTACAGGAAATAGCTCTTCAAATAGTTGGTTACTAACTTCCTATTTCTTTTATAAGCTGTTGAACAACTTCCTGAATTAGCATTCTATTAACATCTTTGGTTACAAGGAGTGGTTCTACTTCTCAGATTTATTTTATTGAATCTGATACCTTGTAACCATTTAGGTGTACAAATAACTTCTTGAATCTTGATGAAATGTACCACATAGAGACAGAATTTGATGTAAAGGGAAATGAAAGTGATCAAAGGATTTTAGCAAGTTGGTTAATGTTCTAATAATTTTCTTTTTAATTAAAAAAATTTTTTTTGGTCTTTTTGAGACAAGGTCTTCCTGTAGCCCCAGCTGGCTTGGAACTCACTATGTAGACCAGGCTGGCCTTGAACTCAAAGAGATCTGCCTGCCCCTGCTTCCCAAGTGCTGAGATCAAAGGCGTGTGCCACCACACCAGGAAATGCTCTAGTAATTTTTTAAAAGATAATTTTTATTTCCATTTATTATTTTTAGTTCTGTGGCTGTGATTTGTTTAAAAGCTGTAGAGTGTCTTAGGGGTGGGGATGTAGCTGTCATGGAGAGCTTGCCTGGAATGCACAAAGCCCTGGGTTTGATCTCTGCGCTCCCCAGCACCGAAAAAATCATAGGTAGATAGGGCCAGTGAGATAACTCTTGGGGTTGACAGTGCCTCCTGAGAACGACCAGAGTTCCATCTCCCATCTTGTGCTGGAAGGAGAGAATCATCTCCTGAAAGTTGTTCTCTTATCACCACATGTGCCCTGTGGTGTATGCATAGCCACACACACACATACAGCAGTAACTGTTTGTTTGTTTGTTTGTTTATTTATTTATTTATTTATTTTTGGTCTTTCTGAGACAGGGTCTCCCTGTAGCCCCAGCTAGCCTGGAACTCACTATGTAGACCAGGCCTTGAACTCACAGAGATCCACCAGCCTCTGCCTCCCAGTGCTGGGCTCAAAGGCATACACCACCACGCCCAGCTGTAATAATCATTTTTTTTTTAAGAAACAAAAAATGGGCTGAATTTTTTAATGCAGTTAAAAATAGCATGGAAATTTACAAAGTATTTCGTTCCATCATTTAAAAACGTTATTTTCTCAGATTTAAAAACAAATTACTCTGCATTTAGCTGAGCCATACACTAACATTGAATGTACTTGCCTCATGAATGTACTTTATGACTATTGAATATAAATACAGTAGTGCAATCCTATTTCTGCCATGGGCTGTTAGAAATGGATGCCCACTGCCCTGATGTAAAGCCACCACAGAATTATATCAAATGAAGGAAATGAATGAAAGTGTTTCTTGTTATAATTTAATCTTATCTTCCTTTTTTATGGCTGTAAACACTGTATACCAACACAGTAAAGAGTACATGTTTTGCCAGGCGTGGTAGCACACGCCT